CTATTTTTCCCTTTTGAATTTTTTACATATATAGTCTTAGAAATTGGATAAAACTGCTTAGTCGTATATTAGTGGTACATAACTATCTAGGTAAAGCCTTAGTAATTTTGTCTCACATATCACTGTTCTCACCCATATCCCCCCAGCCCATGGACACATGATATCTTTGATGAGTCTTTCCCATACATTCTTCATACTTGTTCTTTAAATATTTTTGTGTGTATGTTTTTAGAAGTATGCAAATTATTTTATACTCCCAAAAAAGTTTTTTTCAATTAGTATTGTTTTGTGATGCATATGATAAATAGGTAAGAGATGCAATATTATTCATATTTTTGCTTATGATTATACATTATCTTGTTAAGCTTCTCCTTTTCAAACTTATATAAAATTAATTTAAAATCCCTTGATTCCATGACTGATTTCTCAGTGAATATTATGGGACTTCTATGTTTTCCTTCAAAAAGATGGAAAAAATTCTCTAAGACACATATGTGGAAGGAAATAGTAAGTCCAAACTATGAACTACTTTTTTTATACTCTATTGCCAAAATTCTCTTCAAATATCTGACTAATTATTTTATTTAAACTCTTTAAAGACAGTTCATATTTATTCACCTTCTTGCCAAACTGTGTTGATATTTGACTTTTTAATGTTTACCAATCCGGATGGAAAGTGTTATTTTAATATGATTTTTTTAATTGAAGAAAAACAGCACCTATTCATTAGGTTTGAGGAGGGTTTTTTCTCACTAATTTTTCATTTAGACAAGTTATTGACATTTTAAAAGTATTTTTAAGAGTGATTTGGGGATTTTCTAAGTATATTTTTAATGACATTCCTTTGTCTTCTATGTATGACACAAATACCTTTCCTAATGCAATGCTTCACTTTTAATGCAGCTTTCTATTCCATCATCTTGTTTAATCTAATCACAGCCGGACCTATTTTTCTTACATGATGCAGGGTTCTTCATTTATTTTATTATTAATCTCTTGCCAACTGCAAGATCATAAAGGTGACTTTCTATATATTCTTAGGATAGTCATTTTCATCATCTGTTTTAATTGTGAATGTGGTACTCTGAAATAAGTATCACTGTTGTGCCAATGCTATAGATGGGGAGAGACAGAGGCGACACTGACGTGATGGTTACACACCACTCCATCAGTTAGACAGTGCACATTTCAAATTCTAACTAAACACAAGGTAGTAGTCTGTCTTAGAGATCTCAAAAATGGAGCTATACTACAGATGTATGCCCTGCACAGCACTGTCCC